AGAAATGGAATCCTACCAGAAACAAGGAAACGGAAAGATTTATGGGCTTTATTTTTTGGGAATGCCTTATGAGGCTACCGCGACAAAAAGCTTATTGGAGTACTAATTCTCTTTACCTAAACAAGGTAAAAAAAGTTATGTGAAGAAACAGATTTGAATAGCTTTTGCAAGTGTGGCATTTTAATAATAATGAGGATAAAAGTTTTACAAACGATAGACTTAACACCTTTAGTAGAAAAGTTATTAGATCGATTTCAAACTGTTTAAATGCCTGAATCTAATGTGTGTATTTATGAAACCCTTGTTCTTTTTCGAGGTCGCCTCCGATTCAAGCAATACATAAAAAATTAAAAGAATAAATTTGGCTTAAATCTCTATAAACTGTGCACGTCTGGAAGATACACCTACAATTTGAAAATACATCGTGGAAGTGATAATAGAGAAGGTGGTTTTGCATTATCGGACGTTAGTGAAACAGTGAGATCAAACAGAAAACTAAACACGAAATATGTCTTCTTAATAAAGTCTTTGACCAAGAAAGTGGCACTGGAATTGTAATGCTTAAGTAGAAGGATACGCGCGATGTATTGCTTCTCACAACTCGACATACTGATCAAAAAATCAAGATTCAACAACGTGAAAAAGAAATAGAAAAACCAGCGGCTATCGTCGATTACGATAAGTCCATAAAATATATTGACCTTTCAGATCAGCTAAATACCTATTCACATTGCCTCAGAAGGGGTAATAAGTGGTACAGGAAATTGGATATTGAACTTATTTTTGGCTCAGCACGGGGTAATAAGTGGTACAGGAAATTGGATAGTGAACTTATTTTTGGCTCAGCACTGATGTACAGGCAACCCAGGAAAAAATACAGATAACTGTATTCAGGGAGAATTTGGCATTGGTACTCTTGGGCTTTAGTGAAAATGACAAAGACAATTCCACAGTTGAACCCCAAAATGAGGTATCCCATGAGGCATCCGTTAAATGCCACACCGTACTCAACCTGTTAAACATTTCTAAGCTTAAATAAAGGGTGAGTCACTAGAAACTGTACATGTACATATTTCTTATTACCGGAGAAATTTTTAATAGGCTTCCACAGAAAGCTATTGCCAAAATGGTCAATCTCATTAATGTGACTAAAGTATTAAAGATGTGGAAGATAGCAGAGGTTAAAATTATATTCAAGCCGGGTAAACTTCCCAATGAAAATATATGGTACAGGTGGTCCTCATACACAGTTACTCGCAACCTTATACGAAAAATTGCTTTTTCAGAAACTGAATCCTGTAATAGAAGAAAATGACCTAATACCCTTCCGTCAGATTGATTTTATAGTAAAATACTAGACCGTCTACCAAGACTACAAAATAACGTATATCATCGAGAAGGTCCCTGGAAGTTATCACCATCTTCTTTTTGGAAGTGGCTCAGGCTTTCGACAAAATATTGATTAGAGGGGTGATTCACAAACTGAACATGTTTACTGCTATGTCAATATTCAGAAATATTAAAATCCTATTTATCAGAAAGGTATTTCAGAATAAATCAGGAAGAATCCTATTCTGATGTAGGAGTACTTCGAAGTAGTTTACTAGTTCCAATACTCTACTTGCTGTGTACCACAGATACTTATTTTAAGCATAATACAAAATGTCCTGATTAATTATACTGTAATCTTGGCTGCTGGAACATATTACAAAGAAAGAAACTATCAAAACATTTTAAAAATAGAGAAGCTGGGTTAACACCTGGACGGAAAGCTGGCGATATAAATTTAGTAACCAACATTAGCAACAAACATAATCAATAAAATGATACTTCGATTCCTTATGCTTATCTGGGTATGACACTTGATGCTAGACTTAGTTGGAAAGCCCATATTTAAAAGAAACTTGAAGAACTTGGTATAAAATACAAAAAAGTATATTGGTTGCTAGAAAAAAAATTGTCAATAGATATAAGAAAGTGAAGAAATTTATAATTGACAACATGGATGAAAATTGTTTTTTAAATATAAGTCAAACCTAAATATGTATAAATTGAAAAAAGGAAATAGAACATGTTTATGTACTTAGTTTTCAAAACCACAGTACGACTGTCTTAGGATATTTGAGATTGTATAAGTTAACTCTGGAATATTATTTAATTTATACCTTATTTGTTACCAATCAAAAATATTAAGCCAAATGCTATACATATAGAATTAAAAATATTTGGTTGTTTTTTTTTAATTGAGTAATAATAAAAATACTTTTTAGCATTATGTTTAGTGTTGGACGCATGTACAACAACAAAAAAGATAAAAACAAGATAGTATAAACTGGCCTGAGTTAGGGATAACAAAACATAACATAAAACCATAGTGAGAGTTATTGAAAAAAATCCCGATTCTATTTTTCAATCCGCAGGGGAACGAAACGAACAGAATAATAAAACCGAAAAATTCCCGTATTAGAACCCCAATTTTATAGTCTTTAATAATAAATATTTAATAAATAATATATTGTCAAACGAAAGAAAAAGGTCTTCTGATGAGGGGATATTAAAAAGGTAATTAGGGACCTTTCATTCTTTCAACAACTACCAGTCTCATTTGTTTATCTATAGAAAATCAAGAGCATATTATTCAAACAAATAAAAAAAAAACACTTTCAAATTCTCTTTTACATCATAAATCCCGGATTTTTTGTATTTTTAAAGCACAATAATATTAGTCTACTTAAAAATCACAAGGCAATATTATCTTTAACAATACCCGTACCTCACGTGATCTAGTAAAACCAGTAATTGCATACAAATGGCCCTTTTGAATCAATTTTTGCCAATTTTATTGTCATTTGTGACAAATACGTCAGTGGTATTATTTGTTAGGAAGCTAACTGCTGACATCAATTGGGTCACGTGGGTTACAGGTATTGTTGAAGACTTGTTATAATATAACTAGTGGTATCAGGACTATCGATAAACGCATAATCTTAAACACGAAACATGTCAAAAATTAATTAAAATTATCATTTGTTAATACATTGAGCGCATTAATGAGTTGCGATGCCAAAAATTGTATTCAGTAGATTATATTACGAATTGACGAAATAAAACAGATCAGTAATTTATAGTTAGACTACAAAAGCAATGACGTAACACGACAATTTTGCCCACTAGATCTTTAAATCGCCAAATGAAATGGATGATATTTAGTAGGTACCTACTAAGTATGATTATCAACTACTTATTAGTCAAGTACCTATATAATGTAATAGTCCTCATCTGACTGCAAAAAGTGGCATGTCGTGTGGTTTACTCGCTATTTGTAGTTGGATATGGGGGGAGGGGGGTGAAAAACATGTACTATGTTTCAGTGGTGGGAGCTATCGTGTGACCTGTCAAATTTAAAAATTGAAAGTAAAGTTGTTTATCGATGAAGTTTTCTACTGACAATTAAATATATGCTTCTAGACGTTTATAACAATAAAAAATCTCTATGCAAGCATTTTCTGTCGTCTGGTTTTGGTACTTCCGGTGTAGGGATTCCAGCCACGTGACCGCATATTTACTATTTTCAACGAAATTCGGCATATAGATTAAACGCGTTTTTTTTTTGTAAATCTTAAGATATTGTAAGCATTTTTTGTGTCGGCGAAAGGTTGATATACAAAAAAAATGCAACCTGGCGAAAAGTGACCTATTTATTTGAAATACGTGTAAAATTATAATTAACAGTTAAAAAGTGGTTTAATTACTATCAAAATGTTTGCATGACTCTCAACTAAAGAGTATTTGCCATAAATTAGACTATTGTAACATTTATTTATTATTATTTTTTTTTTTTTTTTTTGAAAACTTGAGGTGTATAGAAGGTTGAATGGCTGAACTACTGTATCCCTAGTTAAAAGTCATACAAAAATTTTGAGGGCAATTAAACCACTCGACTATTCATTACATTTTACACCTTATTTCAAGGTTACTATTTCTTTTTACATATCAACAGTTTCACCGACACAAAAAAATGCTTACAAATTTGCATAATTTGTAAAGAAACAACAAAACCTTAAAAAAATATCACCTTGCGTGGTAGTTGGAAAGATTATTTTACAATATGAACAAAACTTTTATAAACAACATTTGCTTGGTTTCCGTAAGATGAAGGCAATTTTGTAATTATTGAAATGCATAAACAGAAACAATTTTTGTCAATTTTTCCTCACTTTTTAACAAACTTCACATTGACTTTTCGCATAAATCATTGATATGTTACTATGGTAATAAATTATTTTTTTTTAATCCAATCGCGGTTGAGATACAGTTTGTATTGATTGGTGTGTGTTGGAATAAAAGATAATTGTCATTGGTTGGTTGATATTTTAAATAGTTTGGTTAATCCACTGGTCTTTTTCAATCGTGCTGACTCGATTTTCGTAATTATTAAATTTTCTGTAGTTTAAGACCTGACATGTTTAAATTAAGCAATATAATTTCGTTTATTTAACCAAGAAATTGTTCGCGGGCCGCACGTTGAGAACCCCTGCTCTAGACCCTTCGATGAATAATAGCGAAATTATTTTGGTAAATATACTAGTTTAGCTTGTTCAACAGCAAGTGTTCTGGCGGATGCGCGGACATTTTAGAAGCCGCATGTAATGTATAAAAATAAAAATGTTTTGCCTGTGGAAGTTTAAGTTAAAATATATTGTTCACATAATTATTGTCAATGTAAATTAGTGTCTAAGTAGAAGGATATAAATTGGTGTTGTAGTTAGTACAAATAAATTAAGTTATAAAATAAATTAGTGTCTTCGTGAATATAAATTAAATAACAAACAATTTAAATAAATTAACGTTACAGTTTGCTACAACTTTTAAACATAGTTAGCTATTACATAAATATTTGATTTCGTCCATATGTTTTTACTACAAAGCTTATTAAGAACAACTCTTGTATAAAATTCACTTTCTGTTTTATTAAAATTAATAATGTTTCTTCTTTGCAGGTGAGTTTCGTACTCGATCAAGTATGCAGGTGTGCATACTTTCAACCATGAATAATGGAATAAATCCGCTATACTGATATACATGTGAGTATGTTCAGAAATATTTTATATGCGTAAAAACTATGGTATGCAAAAAATGTTACTAGTTTCGTTGAAACAAATAAATTGTTCATATTAAAAAGAATATAGTAATGTGTCAGATAATACGTAGTTACTAATTAATTAAATTACCCAATTTTACGCACTGTATTTAGCCGAAAAATAATGCACCAATTTTTGATTGTAAAGCCATTATCGACAGAAATTGACTCTATAAATCAGGCCGAAATTTAGAGGCAATTTAATTTTCAAATAAAAAAATCGCCTCATTTAACCTTGGCTTGGGCTCTTTCATTGTTTACTTAACGTAATGGTGTCGATTACTCTTTGAAAGGGCACTTAACTTCGCTTCCAACGTCCACTCAATCTCCATCCGCTTTATGGTCCACATATTAATTCAGAAATCCGCCATAGAGGTCGTTAAATACATTCAAGCTCTTTGCAAAATTGGTCACTGACCTTCCGAACCATCACTGGTCCAATCAATGAGCTGTTGTGACATACATCGACAGCCCTGTTATACCAGTATTTTATTCAGTATGGTTTAAATTGGCTGAAAATCAAATCCGGTGTACTACAAAGTAATGTCGTGAGGCCACTATTATTTATAAAGCTATTACTGATTTTTACTTATTCCAGGGGAAAATAAAAAGGTAACTTAATTATTTCTGCGTTTTTATAGTAGTATAAACATTTTCATACACTGAAAAATTTGATTGACTTCCTATAATATAAAATAAGAAAATAAAACAAATAACTTCATTATTTGCTTATAGTGTATCTTTTACGTATTTATTTTTGATTGATCTAGATATTTTGAAAATCTCTTATTCCTAACAATTATTTATAACACATGCTTCTTTCAGTTATTTCTTACAGTTATAATATTACTCACAGTTATTTCTAGCAGTGTCAGAAATTAATAACTTCCAGCGGGAGTGGAGAAAGTAAGAGAATAGTATATTGGTTCACGAGTGATGAAAATGATTTTCGACGAGTAAAACACAATACTTTTTCTACTAACTCTATTATGTCATGTAGGTACCTACTAAAATGAAAAAAAAAACAAACGTTAGCAAATGCTTTATTTTGTGTTAGGAATAACAAAAAATTAACCAACAATTAAATATTTCAGAAATATTATTTATTATTTAAATATTGATTTATTGTTATATTTAAACAATTGTTCAAAATTATGGGGGTATCACACTCAAGCTTTTTATTTATTGAGGTAGATGCCGACATATTTGTTCTACTGTTAAATGTCATTTCAGATGATGATGATGCGCCATAATCGGATGAACTAGTAGTTTCCTTATTTTGTACAGATTGTAAAATTTTGGTTTGTATTTGGTTTTTACTGTTCGTGGATTCATCAACATATCCTTCCGCAACACTACTAGATTTCCAACCACCGTGCTTTTTTAACAGAAGCAAGTCACCTCCTGCATCCACTAATAGCGTTGCGGATGTTCTGCGGAAACAGTGCCCAGTGTAATCTTGAGGATTCGGAAGCGTTAAAAACTGAGCAATTTCGTTAGGAAATTTACTGATTTTATTAATTCCAACAACCTGTCTGCTACACTTTCCATTCTGATAGTTAATAAAGAATCTTGAATTAATTTGATCCATGTTTGCGGGACGTAGGCTCATATATTTTTTAGAAATATCATAAAAGGGTCCAGAAATATGAAAAGAACGCGAAACTTTTGTTTTTGTATTACGGATTTTAACTAACAGAATACTTCCAGTATCCTTTACATCGCTTATTGTTAAATCTTTTAGTTCGTGGCAACGACAAGCGCCAGATAATCCAAAAACTAATGCTACCTACAAATATTAGTAGTTATGTATTAAGTATTTGTTAAAATAAAAATAATAATTCCGTTACCTTTGTTATTAAATATTTATAGTCAGGTGCATTCTTTAGGAAAGTCTTTATGCCTTCAGGCGAAAAAATTTTGGATTTTTGGCTTTTAAAACCATCAGATTTTCTTTTCAAAAGCGAACGTAACTTTGGATATTTACTAATATCGACATCATTTTTAACAGAGAGTGTAGTTCTTAGCATCGAATAAATGGACCATAACGTCGACGGTTTAAAATTTGAACATATTTCTCCAAAGTATGCTAGTAGTACAGTTTTCGAAAATTATTACACTTTATTTTTTTCTCTCCAGTCCAAAAATTTGATATAAATTTCTTCATATCTCTTTTTTGATTTGGCCGGTAATAAATCTGAAGAGGTTTCTTCAGCTTTAAAAATAATTTCTGGGGGAGTACAATCGCTTTCTGACTCAGACATAATGAAAATGTGTTAAATTTAGGACGAACTGAAACTGACAGTTCTCAAAAGTGATAAAACTTCAAATAAACAAATGAAAACCAGGAAACTAGATGTAGATTGGTTTAATTTGCACTATTTTTATACATTTTTATTTTATCTTTAATTCATTAAAGTTTAGGTAAAAACGCATATAGAATTTAATGAGCATCTTTTTATTTCATTATTAATAATTATAAGCTGCCAAAATATTATACGAGGCGACTGATATATGAAAATATGTAACAACTTACTTTCGTCACTAGAGACGAAAGTAAACGTTATAGGATTTTTTCTCACTAGTGACGGAAATCAAGTTTTCGCTGAAAGTATCCTGTGGCGAAAGATGTCTTTTTGTAAGAGTTCGTAGAAAAATATAATTTTGTCTAGCAAACGTAGAAAAAGTAGTAAAAATCCACTTTTGCGAAATATATTACTCTCCACACTAGTTATGCAATAAACCTTTTTCGAATAGGCACTTGTTTGGCGCTTTTAAAATAGCTTTCGAACAAATTACCTCCAATGTTGATTCGTTACATCACAACCATGTTACAGATAGAAATATCTGTCATAATTTAACGGCGAAATTAACAGGTCCGCGTGATATTCGCAGATAGAAGTCGGGTATTTCCATAAATTGCCATTAATGGGCCAGCATATGCGTATTAATGGATAATAAAGTGGAGAGAGATGGAGACAACCGTATCTGGATATCGAAGGGATCTATTTGATTGGAGTGTGTATGTACTGGAATTAACGGCATGAGTTCAGTGGTGGATAACAGAATAAAAAAGAAGTGGAAAAAATGAGTGAAAATGGTACTAAAATGAAAATTTAAAAAAATATCTTTTTGAAATTGTCGATGAATACAGTGGTGGAGAACAAATTCCATTGAGGATAAATTCTTCAACTGTCTTTTTGAGTTCGTATAGTATAATAATTTTAATTCTTACGTTATTAATAATAATGAGTTATTTCACTGTAGGCTAGCTGACGAATTAAGAAAGGCTTGTCGATTTAGAAGGATTTCCAATGGGCCTAATGAGCCAACACGTTTGCTTCCAAGAGACACCTTTCGACCGGCGTTATTAGAGAGGGAGAGGAAAATCTCTTTGCATTTGAGACGTTGGGAAGAGAAAAATGGAACATACACATTTTTTATATTAACATTATCCTTATAATGTATTTTAGCTTGTGTCGAGTGCATATAGAAAAGCGTCAGTCAACTAGAACAGTCATATACTTTATAGATTATCTTTAGTTATTGGTGCTTGATTTTAGACAATTACGAAATACATCCTGAAATTATATGAAATACATTTAATGGACGTTTAAATTATTAAGGGGCAACATTATTTTCAAAGAAAGTAATTACAATGCTAAAAAATGAATTACAAAACTCGTTAACACTAATTAAAACACACGGCCATATAAACTAAACGGATAGTGTCGTTGTCGATAGTGTAGTAGAAATAAGGTAGGTAGCCAATCAAAATACACTGTTTGACATTTCATAATACATCTAAACAACCCTTGCCAAAATAAAGAAAATTCAAAAAATCTAAATCTAAATGCAATCGGCACCATTTTCACGATGATATCCGAATCGTAGGCGACACTGAAACAGAGTACCAAACCCGCATCATATGCTACCCACTACCAGAGGAAGAATTTATTCTGGATACTGATGCCAGTAATGTGGGAATTGATGCTTTCACAAATTCAAGGGGAAAAGAAAGAGTACTGGGTTATTTTAGTAAAGTGCTCTCGAAAACCTGATCAAAATTACTGCATCACGAGAAGAGAGCTCCTGGCAGTTGTGACATTTTTACCAATAACTATATGAAAGGAAATGTTTAATTCGGACCGATCATACAGCTCTTAAAAGGCTGATGATCAAGAACTCGGAGGGCCAAATCGCCATATGGATCAAACGACTTTAAGGATTAAGGCACATAAATGCCGATTCTCTTTCTAGAATACTGTAGGTAGTAATTTCCATTCAAATAATTTTCATCTGAATATTAAAAAAATAATTTATTAACTTTAAAAAATCCAAATATATATGATAACTTAATAATAATGTCTTTTTAAAAAATGTCGCGTCTTTGTGTCATGTCTTGTCTTCTTAATTTCGAATCAGTAATCAATAATTTTGTTTCCTTTTCCTTGGTTACCATCCATCGGATAAGTAGGGTGCTAGTGTACGCAGCTATCGACCGAGATCATAATATATGTGATGTTATTATAATGGTACCATCTGACATTGACACTTGACCAACCTCAAATAAAAACTGACTAAGAAACCTTAAAATAAATTGACGTAAAAGTCAAAACTAAAGGTAAGACTATGTGGTGCTATGATGTCGCCACAAATACCATGCCCAGCAGAGTGCTCTCACTGCAACAGAGCAGAATCCAAAGAAAGGTGTACTACTAAGAACAACTGTAGTCAAAGATGAGTGGGCCCCTGTCAAACTTAGGGAAGAACAAGAGAACGATCCAGTTTAAAAGAACATGCGACAATAGAAAGAGGAAAGAGGAAAATCGTCGACCTACTTGGCAAGAAGTATCAAATCTCTCTCCAGTAGTAGAAGTCATATTTAGCTCAGTGGGGCTCTTTTATTCTGGAGATAAGACTACCTTGTGACCTCGAGTTTGGAT